TTTGTTATATCGTATTTTTTAGATTAAAAATACAAAAGTAAAAACTTTGTATCCGACCGGGATTCGAGCCCGGACACCTGTGATAGTCAATCTTGCGGCATGGCCGCTTAACAACGATGCTTATACCGGAGTGCTCGAAAATAACCAACATATAATGCGTGGTATCATACTTGGTTTCAGAAAAAAATGAAAAAGAAAGTGTGTATGTACTAATGTACGCACGTAAGAAGTTATACTACTTTGGCATAACAAAACAAAATTAACTCTAAAAATTTTATTCTACGTGCCAATACTTTTGTAGAAACGACGATAAAATAATAAAATAAAGATATTAAATACAATCGATAAAGGTTAAGTTAAAAAATATAATGATTTAAGAAATGAGAATAGCTACCGCAAAGAAAAAACGTTAAAATCTACCTAGGGGCGAACCCGAGCGAAGCGAGGATGAGCCGCTAGTTAAGTAATAAAGTAATAATTTATAAATAATGTAAAAAAATAACACATACTTTACATACCTCTTAATACAAAAAAATATATGAAAGAGTGCGTGCATCAATGTGTACATGCGCAACAAGTGAAAATTCTGTAGGTTATCGGTACTTTTTATGAAATTCAATTTTTTTTAAATAATTAGAACAGCAGATATACTAAAAATCGATTTTAAAAGGAAAACAATATTTTATTATTCACATAGTACAGATGGTGTTAAGATAAAATATAATTTTCAATAAAATTATATAATGATTCAATAAACTATATACTCCAATAAATAATACTAATAACTGCATGCAAACTGGATGCAAATTTTTTAGTGAAAAAATATATAGTTATAATGTGTAAGAAAATATTTCATGTAAATATCTTTTTAACAATATTCATTTGATATGATATTCAATCGCTCATTTAAAAATAAATGTAAAAAGGTTTTTTTATAAATATCTATTTTTATTTAATTTATTCTTTGAAATACTCACATAATAGTTTGAATAATTTTAAATTGACTATTTTATTCACTTCCGTAACAACCGTTTTTCCGTTACAAAAATCGTAACGCCAATACCTTTTTACCTCTCATGGCTCACCTAAAGAAGTTTCACTTCAAAAAATCGGCCAGTGTCATAAGGACACCCAGTAGGAACGAAGTTCCTTTCGTTGTCCGCCCTTGGCTCATGTACATTGTCAGGAGTTCCAGGATAGCATAGACATCGAACAATGTAAATTGTACATGTTCTCATCGCAGAAAAGCCTGCACAGAGTGCACACAAATTTCTTACAACATACACTCATCAACACTTATAATCGCGTAGTATTTTTGTCTCGAGTACTAGGGGACCACGAACCTCAAGGAGTGCTCGTTATATGTAGGGTCATGTCAAAGAGTGCAAACGACCTCCTTATTCTCGCCTGGTCACCTGTACTTATGATGACGTCATATGATTTCTATCTGTGAGCTCCTTTTTTAGATGTTTTTCCACCATTTTGGTTTAAAAATGTCGACATTTAGGTAGTAGTAGGTACATTGTCACGACAACCAAATGTGTGTGCCATATTTCAGCTCTATCAGACACTAGAAAGGGGGTCAAAAAAATAACTTGTAAGATTTGATTACAGACAGACACCGGGACAAGTGAAACTAAATAAAAGCTTGTAATAATTTTTATTTTTATTGATATAAAAGACGTGTTGTGTGTACATATACACATTGTATATACCGGAATAAATATCTTGAGAATAGACATCACAATATACTAAAGGGAGATTTAACGACGTAACTTCGTATTGTAGTCTTATAACGACTAACTTCATACTGTAGTTTAAGTCTGTCGCATCGGAAAAATTCACTCTCATCATTTTTCTCTAACGCGCCAAAAGAAGTATAACTACAAAAACATTTTGAACGACTTGAAAAAGGAGGTGCTTAATTACCTCAAGGAGTACCTCATAAAAATCATCCAAATAATTATGGGCGCAATTATTACTTTTAAAGAAAACATACTCGCGTAGTAAACGGCAAGGTAAGTCAATATTTATATTGCTGGCACACTGCATGTCATGGAACTGAATAAGAGCACTGCGCGTCTATCAGACGATGAACTGATAGACAAATGAATTATTAGATTTTATTGACGAATGCTTATTAATTATTACTGAATGCCACCATTTTTTTATCAAATAATACTTATTATGTTTTAATATTATCAGTATACGTACAATTATACATACAATATCTAGACAGTATACGTAAATTGAGAAACTTTTAAATTAATACTTTTATAACAAGTGAAACCTAAAGAGACCATGGCGCGTTTCACCACTCGCATAGTTAACATAATGCAACGAAAACAACAATTTTCAAAAAGGAAGCAGATCGTGTGACCAGTACGACGCGACGCGAGAAATCAATTGCAACCGTTATAACTGGTATTAAATAAAGAGGTGCTCCTATTTGTAAAGTCATCTTTAAGAAATACACTTATAAAATGTACTGCATTTGTGTACGACTTTACTAATTTTAAGTATTTTCTTTTAAAAATGGAGTTAAAGAAAAACACTAACTCTACCCAATATAAATGCATGTATATGGGACAGTTCAAAATAATTTCTAAGAGTTTAATTTTACCCGTTAAAGAAATGTCTAACAAAATACAATTTGCTATAAACAATGTTAGACAAGGCGCTGCCTGTAGTTTCCCACGAGGTTGCTATTAAATGAGAACAACTTAATTAAGTTTTACTCAAAGACTAGTGGTGCAATTTTTCAGTAGTTATATAAAGATAACTTTTTTTCTCACCAAAGAAATCTTTTACAACTTGCACGTAAATAAATAACATGTTATATACTCGTAGTATATAGTTTATATTTAATATGTATAAATATTATAAACCATAGAATTTAAGAATTTTACATACATAGATATTCCGTAGAAATTAGTTGGGTGGGTAGGTAGAGTTTATGAAAATTCGAAGTAAAAGGATTACAAATTAGGATCAAAAAATTATCTATTTCAATATTTAATTTATAAATGAAATAAAATTGCATATGTGCAATTATTTTACAAAAATAAACATTAGAATGTCGAAAGTCGAAGATAGATAGAAAGTTTATTTTATATTTAGTAAAAACGTCTATTCTGATTTTTGAGTCAGTAGTTTCTAATATTTTTTAAATTTATTAAGATTGAATTTAGGTTGAAAGGTCAGAAATTTTGTAACATACTTGTTGAGATGTACCTCCAATATATGTGTGTTATACCTGGGTCAGGGTAATCATGAAATTGATACAAGTCAACAAGAGATATATGTAAAACATAATATGTAGGTATATACGTATAGGTATGTAATTCTTTACATTATAATCTATACATATAATAAAATTGTAACTAAGCCAAATCTGTACATTAAATATTTTTTGGAAAATCTTATTGAAATAGACATTATTATCGATACAGAGGCCGAATGTATAGTTTTTTTTTAAAAAACTGTCTGTCTGTTACCGCGTTACAGAAAAACACTGGAGGGATTTTAATGAAATTTGGTATGGTGATAGCTGGTTATCCGGGTCAAAATATAGGATACTTTTTATCGCGGGGAAATATCTTATCTCTGAGAAAAAAATATAAAAACTACAATGTAAGAGTATACTAATATGTAAAACCACAAAAAATGTTTTTTGGTCATCTGAACGTGGGCGGAGCCGCGGGCAATGCTAGTATGATATATGTTTGAACATTTATAAAATAAACTTTAAAATAAAATTATTTCAATTAAATAGCCCCCGTGTTATTTTTTTTAATATTGAATGTAATATATTAAACGTCAATTTCATCGCCTTCGCATTTCATTCCACGAAAGGCCTTTCCGCTTTACCTCCAGATACGTAGCGTAAGTAATATGCAACCGCACATCAGTCGTGTACTATAAACTCTTCTGCAACTGACGATCCAATATGCCTTTGATGTCAACTCAATGTTGAGTGAAATGAAAGAGGACTGGCAGAGCTTTAGTAAATCATTTGAAACTTTCAATAAAATAGCTCAATTTATTACAGAAATTATATTTTAATTATTATAACCAAATCGAATAGATACGTGCACCCCTACTAGCCCTGAGGATTTCATACAAGTTTTAACAATGGATGTCTATACTTGTTGAGGTGTACAGAGTAAACGACAAGTAAGAGTAAACGAACCAGGAACTTGGATTACTTTGTTGTCTAACAAAGTAATCCCGTCAGGTTCCTGGTTCGTTTACGGTGCAATACAATACATTGGACACAAATTAATTTCAAACTTAAGGAGTCTAAACAGTTTGCATATTAATTGACATATTACATGCATAAGTAACTATTTATCCATTACTATTAATAGTACGAGTCGCGCGTCAAGGATGATTCTGTATAAACATTTCCTTCCCGTATTTTATTTTACAAAGATATATTGTGAGAATTTTTGCTATATTTTTGGAATTAGGTCGACATAGTCTTTAAGATATCTTTTTCTAGGAATAAAAAAAATGTTTTTAAATAAAAAATCAAAATACTGATGTCTCATATAAAGTCTTCGCAACCGAGAACGTACGAGTTTTGCACATGTTAAAATATTGTTATATGAAATGAGCGAACACGAGACCCTCGCTGTTTCTCATGGAATATACACTTGAGCCCAGCAGCGTTAACAATATCTCTTCACGCTGCGCAGGTACAAAGTTTCTCTCGGAAAAATCAGGTCAAACTTTATAATTCTTAATGGCTTTGTAACGATGCTCGTGTTTTTTAATTTGTTTTAGTTATACTAAGAATTCGTCGTCACTTTGAACAATGCAATATAAAAATACATTCCCTAACGGCTAACATTGCCTATAACATTAAACGCCTCTTTTTATATAAAGAATAAAAAAAAATGATATGCCTACGTATATGAAGTAATATAAATTTCGCTACTTTCATTCTTTTTTTTTAACCTTCATGTAATCTAATAAATATTTCAAATAAAACCTACCTTGTCTGAATCCGTAGTGTTGCCGCTACCAAACGATGCTAATGAGTTGCGATCGAGATTCTCTGTGTCGGTATCTTCAAAATCTCTGCCAAAATATAATAGTTTTAATAATATGTCAAGGGTGGTCTGTAGTGTAATTTAGGTCGATTTTCTAAACTAGGGTGAAAGCTAGTCATGTGTAAAGTGAGTGTGCTAAGTATAAGTAATAAATACACTGATTTACTAACGTATAGTTAATATAAAAAAATAGAACCCGATGTGTTATAATGATTAGGAATATTATGTCTATGCGCAAGTGCAAAAAAACTACGAATTAGTCATTTTGACAGATTAAAGGCGGTACTGCCTCGTTACACAAGACCTAGTGCAGTCGTACAGGCTGCAGATCCGGAGGCCGGAGTGGGACCGGCTCGACCAAGTCCGCAGTTGTATTATGGCAAGTATTTCAAGCCGTCGGTCCGACGCCTATACCCTTAAAGGTCGTGTAGAATTTTCTTCCCACTGGAGTATGAGAGTGATAGGAATAGATGGTGCACTTGTGTTTGTGAGTAAACTTGTGTACTATATTATCTCAAGTGTCAGTAAGATTGGCTGCCAGGAGGTTCAGAGGGCTATAATCGATTAAGAGGACATTATTAATATTATTATAATAAAAGCAGTACTTACCGGCTAGAGCGCTGTGAGCTGGCAGGGCGCGCGCGCGCCGGGCTGCGGGGCGGCTGTTGTAGTGCTCCGCTGAAGTACGTTTCCTATCACCAAAAATACATAGTATATTACAGTGGAATAAACCAAGTAAGAGGAATTAAGTGTATGGAGATAATTGTCATTTTTTTATTTGTATTTTTTATTATTATAATAGAAACGCTCGTACTTGTATAACTTCTCGAAGTCGTCGCACCCACGTCTGTTTAATGTCGAGCGATGGCGCTTTGAGTACTATGCGACAATCACTAGCCATCGGCTCACGTCCCGTCCATACCGAGAATTTACACTCATCGCCTTCGATGTGCTCCGTTACGCCAAGTTCGGAAGTCTGCGTAAAAATTTTTTTATTAATATAATAAACCATTTTTAAAAAATAAATAAACACATTGTATCGTTAATAGCAACTATGTGAATAATAATAGTTAGAACATACCATAAATTTTGTCTTGTATATGTACTTTGCTTTGCCATGAGTGTCCTTGACCTCCTTAGCCAGAAGCAGATGCAGATCGAAAAGGAAAACTCTTCTCTCTCTACATTTTTTAATTATCTGTCGAAGATCCCATACTTGGAAGGAATCTTGTAGTACAACTTCCCCTAAACTGTCTAAAGGCACATCGCATCCCTCTAAATTCGACAAATGCATAGCATCATTAGCCTTCTTTGGCACAGAAAGCATAACTTCAAGGCCGTCCTGTGGACAAAATAGGAATATTATAACGAGTCAACAATAATACAGTCTTGTTATTTATACATTCATAGATAAGGCCTCCAAGGATACTGAACGCCATACTCGACAAAACACATTTAGGTTACATATTTACTATTAAATTAACCCTGGTATATTGTTATTTCGATTAAACAATTACACTTTTAGATAACTCAGAGTGCAGATATTCTGTTCTAAGTTAATTGTTCAGTAATTCTTAATGAAAGAGATCAAGGTGATGCAGGGAAATGTCATATTACTTATTTAAATATTAAGTTGATTTTCACATAGTTTTTAAGAGTAACATTTGAGAACCATTTACTGTTATGGAGAAACGAACAGATCCGTAACACAATCCTTTCTCGGCATCCCTTGTCCACGCATTTTCTTGAACGAAACGTACAAGTATGTATTAGTTATAAATATATGTTTTATAAAAAGCATCAATTAAAAATAATAAATAATTTAATTAAAACATGTAAGTTTAATTGGAATACGTCACTACACTTAAAGAATCTTATAGTATATTATAATAATATTTATTATATACATTTTCTGTAAACATAAAAATGATCTCTTAAAAATATAATGTATACATACGATATCATTTTTCGAAGCAGGCCCAATCCTATTGCTGCGATGGTTATGCAGATATTTCAACATTATCACAATCGAACTGTCTGTTATTCCACTGATCATACCATTTTAATAAAAGAACTTTTTGAATAAATGTTCCACAGCTACGGTCGAAAAATACACTAATCACTGAGCTTCGTTATAATTATACTAAACAAATGAATCATAAGGAAAATATTGCTCGAAACTAATCGTCAATTTATAGCGGACAGTGTACTAGTTTATTCAATTTCAAATACTGTATATAAGTGAATAACAAATGTTTAAGCCGATAATAGGTAATGGTTCTGTGCTATTACAAAACATTAAAGCTCGTTAACGATGAAGATAAGAAAGTAGTCAAAATTAGACGTAGAGAAAATGCTAACGAATTCATTTGAATTATACGCACTTAGCAAAGAGTTTTAATAATAATTGTATAAATTAATTAAAATATTACTGAGAAAGTAAATAATACGAAACTTTGTTTAATACTACCGCAGTGTACCACCAAAGTGAATTAAGGTGGATTTAAATGCTAAAAGATATCATGAGATCAATACATACTCAACTGATAATATAAACAATGTATATATGTGTAATAAATTCAATAACAACAAAAACAATAGTGAAAACAACTATTGCTAAAGTAAAACAGTTGACAGCTTCCACTACATCAACGGATATATTACTAAAAATATGAAAATGTACACTTCTCAAATGTGTCATTTATAAATCCCCAACAATTCCATTGTACAGCAAAGATATCGCGTATTCGTCACTTATATGTATATTCTATGTACTTTATACCATGACACAAAACTCGCAAGAGGCACTCATTATCTTGCTGTAATTAAATACTTTCTTTGAATACACGGCCATCACTAATTAGATATCGTTAAATTGTGAATTATTTATATGAAACATCAAATAAATTAAAAGAGCAATGCCAACACGATTACGAACCAATAACGGTACAATGTCAGGTATTTAATATTTAATTTGATGATTGTAAACATTAAGACTCACCAGGAGGTTCTCTCCTGTAATAATATATAATATTTTACTTAGTCGCAGAACGTGAAGTGTATCACATAAGCATTCCCACTTCTACGTATTCGTTGAAGGAACAAAAGTATCGCGGTTTTATCTTATCAACGTCTTATCGTTTCAGGCAAGTTGTAAGATGATAAGAAATAATAGTATGAAAGATAAAGTCACAAAATAGAGTCATTATTCGTCACCAACAAAACTGGTTTATTCTTTTATCTAATTATTAAATAAGAACATTACTATCCAAAAAAAATTCTTATGTATTTTCATTTTGACAGAGATCTTCAATGTAAAAAGAAACAATTCTTTTTAAGTTCTAATATTAAATTTATGCACTGTTTAGTTGATATTTGTCGATATCGACAACACAGTAACAAATATCGTGTAACATATGAAATGGCGCACAATATTTATTTAACACAGGTAATATGGCACAGAAAAAAACATCACATGATGTTACCTTTATTTCTCCTTGTCCTTCGGCACAACAAGCTTGTAGGTCTTTCAATAACAGTTGGTATTTTGTGATCCGCTGTACTGGTTTTATAAGGTACGCCGCTAATGGATGCTCAAGTTTCTTCTTACGCTGAACTCTGTTAAGTAAATTCAGAAATCTAATTCTGTTATACGCGTACAAAGATACTTAAGGAAATTTTTTTAATGATATTTAATTGATTTAATAATTATTTATTTGTAAAGTTATCAAACTTACAGATAAAACATAAAAATAAACTATATAATGTTATATATGCTTGCATTTCATATTTGTGGAAAATTTTATAAATCTAATATTCAAATTGATATTAAATCATTGAAAAAAAAATAAACCTAACAATTCAAGTTTTAGACATTGTACAAAAGTGCATACCTATCGAAGTAATCCCCAGCGTGTTGCACGACGGCGGCGTTGCTGTCGGGTTTGTTGCGGCAATACGACACGTACATGTCGAACTCTCGCGCCCACGTCACGAAGCAATGGCCGACGTCCTCCGGCATCGTCTCGTACTTGTCCAGCTCGCGCAGAAACACACGCTCGTGGAAGCGGTGGATCTCCTCGATGTTGCCGAAAATTAATTCTTCCTAAAATATATATCGTGGTTAACAAAAACCACTGTGATATTTTCCACTTAAATTTTAGTAATATTATAAATGTGAATATTTAGATAAATGTTTGGATGTTTGTTACTCAATTGCGCCAGAAAGGCTGAAATGATCTGGATGAAATTTGGCACAGAGATAGATTATAGTCTGGAATAGCTACTTTTTACCCCGGAAAAATGGACAGTTGCCGACACATAGATTTGTTTTTGTTTTTCTAGAGGCGAAACCGAGCGAAGGGAGGGTGAGCCGCTAGTTATATTTCGAATACAGACCTTCCCTTGCAACGCGGCAGGAACTGAAGCAGGATCCGTACGCATTTCGCGCAAATAACAAGTTATACAGGTCTCTAGATCTTTAACATACGCACGTTCGGTTTGAAGTAGTTCTGCCATTATGAACCTGGACAACAAAAACATTTTTTTATTCTCGGCGCTTTGTACATAAGTTATGGTAACGTATGCAAAAGTCTTATCAATTTTTTAATACGTACTCTTTACGCCTAGCACTTCTACGTTTGTCGTCGGCGGAGGCCGCTGGTGGTGCCTCTGCACGCGCCTCAGCTTCGCTCGTCTGCACAGAGCTGAGCGAAGCCGCCACGCCCGAGTCACTCTCCGCCTCACTTTCACCACCTTCCATAGAACCGCTAAATTCTGCATATCTGTTGTAAAATTAAATTTTAGTTGGACTTTATTATCTTTTTCATTTTAATTTATATTAATTTTATAATTATTCAACGAAGTATTCATTTTCTAGCAAATATAGAAAAGTCGTATGTATAATAAATTACAAGTGTCCCGCTTTGAACAATGATGTATTAATAAATAATATTTGAAACGTAGCTCTGGCTTGCGCGTGAAATTCTTTTACATGCTTGTTCCACCCTTTTATACCCTTATAATTTCCTATAATGCCCCTTAACGTTCTACTATTACAAAAATTTTATGTTCTAGGCTATTACAGAATATGTCCGCACAGCGTTCAAATTGCTTAGGAAATTCTACATTTTTTAACTTATTATTACACAATTGTGAGTAACTTGCAATGTCCTCAGAATTTCTTTGCCCCCATCTAATACCGTTACATGCAAGCTTAATCGCACAAGTTTTTAATCTAATAACATTGATATCACACTCTAACTTCAAAGGAAAATGATCTGACCAAAATGTATCATGTATAACCTTAATGTTTACAACAGTTCTCGCCGCCGAATGAGTTACGAGACAGTGGTCTAGCCAACGCTTACACCCATGTGAGTCACTTATGTATGTATACGTTTGCGATGAAATACCAAGGTAGTTAATATCGGCACACAACAATTCTTGTTCAGTACAGAAACTAAGAAGTTCGTTACAAAATGACTCACCTGGGTGCGCGTTGAAATCTCCCAACACATAAACAGATTCAATATTATTGTATTGTATTATAGAATTAATTTCACTAAGACATTCCGTAAAACCTGGAAGATTTTCACTGCAATCCGTCGGCATATACGTATTTATAACCATAAAATATTTGCCATTTACTACTACTTTTATTGCACAGATCCGATCACTATCACATTGCACTACAGTCACACATTTCAATGCACTTTTACGCCACAGTATTGCAAGACCTCCATAGGGTCTCCCTTTACAAATACCAGTTGACGTGTCCACTGAAGACTTCGCAGAGTAACTGAATTCATGATCTATATTCTCAAGATAGCATAAGTCATGTGGATATAACCATGTTTCTTGTAACAATACAATGTCAGCTGTCCATGTGTATTACTGTATCCTTATAAATTAAATATATATATATATATATATATATATATATATATATATATATATATATATATATATAATATATATATAATATATATATATATATATATATATATATATATCTTCATGAATTTATAAGCTATAATACAAATGATAATTAATATTGTAAAGTTCAATATTCGTTCAAAAGTTTTTGGGTAAAATCATTTAATCAGCATACAGACATCCGTCCTCAAGGTCCTAGTAGGATCCTAGTAGGTTAAAATGAAACAAATTAAAAACTAACCTAGCATCAACAGCTGCCACCCATTCCTTAATTTGTACAGCGTGTGGGTGCCCCTTTTCGACGAGCCCGTCCGCGAGCTGGGCCAGCAGGCGCACGCGCTCGCGGGACTCGCGCGCCACACCGCCGGCCGCCGCCGCCGCCGCCGCGCCGCACCGCTCCTGCGTCTCGCGGATCCACTCGACGGCCGCGCGGGCAGAACGCTCAAATAAAGCGAATTGTTGACATTGTTCTAGACGTTTCTTACGAACCGTCCAATGCTCTAAAACCTAAAACGAACCAGCGAATTAGAAACTGTGAAACACACATAAAATTTATAAATTTAATGATAAAATTGAAAAAATACTATCATCAAAATATTTATAATATGGTATACTTTCTAAACTAGTTTCAATGGTTTAAACTGAATTTCGTATAACACATAAAACATATTAATATTACAAACCTCAAAAAAATTAAAACATATTTATTTAAAAAAATAATAAGAAGAATATTTACTGGCTGCATTAAAATCATGATTATGCCCGTCATAACGAGTTAAAACGTTAATAGTTTCACATCGCGGAACGACGGCGCGTATCACTCTACTGGCTTTACATTCCCCATAGCATTAAACTCATTGTCCGCATCTTCACCCAACCGTAGTAACTGCTTAACCAGTCACCACAAAAATGTAAAAACGCTCTAAATATTCACTCAGCGTAATGTATAGTACTCATTCACACTCGCTATATGTACATTACACGTATGCTGTAAACTAATATTATAATCGATGAACCGAAAGAATTTATTTCATAAACATTTTTGCGCGATGTAATTGGAATTGTTAGTACTAGATACGTAAACAGACAATGTGCGATCTCAATCACACTACAATATTGTTTGTTTATATTGTAGCAATGCATTGAATAACACCATGAATAATTTATTTATTACCCACCGATAGTATCTCGTAGGTTGACTATTTTTATATTGTGCACCCGGAAAACAATAAGCAAGACTAGATAGTCTATAAATAGACACATGAATAGATATAAACATTGCAGTATGCACCTAGGATTATAGTTTATACTACAAGTGTATTATTATAAGTACAAGTGTTTGCTTTGTTTGATTGAAATTATTTATATTTGTTGTTGTGCATGCAGTCAAATACTCTATTTTAATTTATTTACAATTACTATTGAATATGATTTCACTAATATTATGTGTACAATAAAGGTCCCACTTCCTCTTCCTCTTGTTTAGATTTTTTTAGATACATTGAAATAAAGCTGTTCTGTATTCAATTCAGACTGCTGTGAGTATGGCAAGAATAGCCAACAAAAAACGAATAAAATACCAAAAATCGTAGTTTTGACTTTGAATACTATGTAATGTGGACATTCCTTCACGAAATAAAAAAAAATAATTAAACATATAATAATATATTAAACATATAGTAAATAATAATAATTATTATTTATTATATTTATGGATTTTAGCTTTAAGTAGGAATTCAATCTGTATTTTAAAAAGAAGAAAAAAAAAATATATTTTTTAAGTTTTCCAATAGGGATCTATTCTGAAACCTTTCAAGAATAGTCCAATTTCATCATCAAATTTATAGTTTAACAATTATCACACTTGCAATGTTCATATTGAAGTAGGAAAAAATATTATTTAACTAATGCATATTTAATAGAAAAACCGCGATAAAAATTTTAAGTAAGCCCCTTAATTTTTTATTTTTTAATATTTATATTTAATGTTAAAAGATTTTTTATTGATACAGTGTTTGAAGTAGGCGTGGCTTGCGCAAACCAGAGCACCCGTATTCGGTAGTATTTTTATCCCACTGGGAAAATTAAAATATTGGTCCTACAGTTCCGGGAGTCGAGACATTTTTTTAGGAAGTTTCCTCCTTCGAAACCGAACGAACAGCCGATACAGATTAAATGTACGAAGTTAGTCACATAAAGTTAATTCGAAAAAAATTGTTGTGATTTAAGATTAGTACCATTATCCACCCATTTCATATACAGGTGTCCGGTAAATAGCACGATAAAAAAGAGGGGAAGGTAGACGAAAGGCTGATCACCGGTGAAGGACAAAAAAGAAAAAAACCTTAAAAAGTTTCACCGATTTTTAGACATTTTTTTTTTACTTAAAAAAAAAGACATTTATTTATCTACCTTCGGTTGGAAACCAAAGTTGAGTAAAACAATTTTCGAAAACTAAAATACAAAGTATTCATTGTTTTTGTCGACGTTCCATAATAATTGTGTTTACCGAAAATGATATTTGAAATAATAAATCAACCGCCTGAGAGTATTTGACATAAAAATAAATATGTAGTTTTGTCTACGCACAGCAACATAAGATAGATAAAAAGTCTTTTTTCAAAAAAAAAAACAAAAAAATATTAAAAACGGTGAAACTTTTACTAAGGTTATTTTTTAATATGTTGTAGGTCAGCCATTCGTCTACCTTCCCCATTTTTCAACCGACTTCAAAAAGGAGGAGGTTCTCAATTCGACTGTATTTTTTTTTATGTTTGTTACCTCAGAACTCCGTCATTTATTAACCGATTTGGATAATTTTTGTGTCGTTTGAAAGTGTATACTTCCAGATTGGTCCCATTTAAATTTCAAAAAAAAATACCACCCCTAAGGGTGGAAAAATAGCTAATGATGAATTTAACCTACTTCTAATTGTCATATTGACTTAAAACTTTGCAAGTATTTCTATTTCCGTTGATAGTACAGTGGTTCGGTATTGTTGACCTGATCTGATGGTAAGGCCAGAAGGTGGATAGGTCGAACTCTTCAACGGCTAATAGTAGATACTTTGAGTTTGGACTTATTTTGTTTGATTTGACAAGCCTAACACGTTAGAATTCTTACTTTGCTACTACTGTCTACACTAAAAATGGAAAAATAAAAACTTTTTAACAAAAAAATAAAAACTGACTTCAAACAAAAGCACTAAAAAGTAAAAAATAACTGATTGTAGTTTTCATTTACTATACATACCTAATCAAATATTTTCGAAGTCGGTGTGTTTTGGCTAAGTAATTAAAGCCTACCTATTAAATACATATGTACCTATCAAATATTTTCGAAATCGGTGCCAGCCCATACAATGTAATACTACCAATCAGTATTTTTTTACTTTTTAGTGCTTTTGTTTGAAGTCGGTTTTTATTTTTTTGTTATTTATCATGCGGTTTACCGGACACCTGTATACATAATTTCCTTTTTGATTATCAAATACATTCGCGAAAAATTTGCATCGTTTCTTGCGAATACGAATGCGAATCTAAATAGCGATACGAAATCAAAAATGAAGCCCATTGCCCAAACCATTGAGTAATAATTAAACCAACGCAATATGTTAGAAGAAGAATAAAGAAGTAGGTATATTACCTTGTTCTCTTGCGCGAGCAGTGTGTCTAGTATCGCGCGGGTCTGTTCGTGGTGGGCCTTGCTCGCCGCGACGGTCTGTCCGTGCACTTGCGCAGAGCGCGCCGCGTACTTGAGGAACGTCTCCGCGGTACGCCGCGCTAGCGTACACGCTTTGAGGAAAGCTTCCTTTTGCTCACCATGTTTCACAATTAACGCTGCGACCTGTGTAACATATAACTACATATTAATAGGTGAACATCGAATCTGAATCTTTGGAAGAGTAAAAATTGTTATCATTTGAAAACTATGGTGTCATATAAGTGCACGAAGTTTCTATGCCAAAAAATAAACACATTATGAACCAATTACAAATTATTTACTACAAACAACTAAATTAAAATATTTTGGGCACTTTCGTTGCTGATCTTAGATGCCTATACCGTTAGATGATAAATAAAAAAATATCGAGACCAATGTTTTGCACATTCCACACACAAACACATCTTTTTATTCTATATTTTTTTATCGAATGAAAAATATTTTTAACAATGTAACAATAAAACTGATTGGCTCATTTTGAGCCTCATATAAAAGGTAAAGCTTGTGAACCTGAGACGCTTTATCCAAGTTCTGCGTATGCGTTGTTTCTTCTCCTTCATTGGTGATAGAGATAGCCGCTGTAGCCGCGATAAGTATGCCGGTGCTGGAGGCAGAGGGCGGCACTGAGAGGGCTACTGTAGACCCGCACCAGTCCTCGTCCCGCCGGTACTCGCGCTCCAGTGAGTCGAGCACCGAGCACACTTGTTCCGCCGTCTTGTAGAAGTTGAGGGATGCTGTTACTAACTTATGGCGCTCTTCGGCGCACGTGACTAGTCGTTGCCATCTTTCTGTCACTTCTTCTGATATTTCTCTGTAAGTCATTCATAACACTTATCAAACAAAAAATGTTTATATTGTGTATTGACAAAATTAACAGTGGTGATCATATATTATTACACAAGTCCATAATATTATTCAAAAAAATAAGTGTATTTATTTATACCTTATAGTATGAGGGTCATAATGATTAGCTGCACGTAAGGCATCTGCCCTATATTTAACTTGCACGGCACTAGCATGCGTCTTCTCTACCGCTACTTGGAATTGATCGTGTTCTCGTTTTAATTGCTCCGCCTCCGAGAGAGTGCCCGGTATAGAGAATGACGCCGATAGCATCGCCTCGCCATTCCTAATCCAGCTAACTACTTGCGCCGCATCTTTTTGGAACTGCCCTGTTAAATTTCAAGGGTTAATGAGTCAATAAAAAAGATCGAAAGTGCATATTACAAAACTTCCGCGATACCATTCAGACAAAGAGAGACAATAGCATTCCCAAGGAGGGTTGACGTCAGGCAGGCGGCCGGTCGTAAAACTTTTGCCAAATTCTATCAACAGTACAGAAGATGTACTGCGCCGACCCGAAGTGATTGGGAAATGGGCAGGGAGAAGAAGAATTAGTCAATATATACTACTACTATATGGCCTAAGAGCCTGTGAACGCCAGACCTTCGTCATTTTATAAAAGCTGAAAGTTTGTCAGCGCATGCTCCCAACACAGATAAGAACGATGGACCATTATGAAGATCAGGCTATGGTGGCTTTGGCAGGTACACGGTACTAAAGGTGTGTAAAATACCGATCTAAATTCGTCAAATAATAAAGTGTGATTTTTTGGTATTACCTTCAGAATATTATTAAAAATCACGTCATTCAATGTTACCTAATTGAACACATTGTTCGAATCGGGCTCGTCTTTCTTCGGCTAGTTCCTCTAAATCTAACTGTCTATCGTGTAGGAACTCAAGTAGAAGTTGAACACGGGCCTGCGCGTCCATTGGAGCTCCCTCTGAACTATCGGAGCTGGACGCCATCACGTCTGAGGCCTCGGCAATAGCCGCAGCCAATTCTTGCCCTTGCTGCACCACCTGGAAACAAATAATAACATTTTTAATCATTTAAAACTTTAATGATGTTGAAATAATTTAAAAGCCTTTACTTTAGAAATACAAATAGACATTTTCGTGTGTTTGCCTGCATTTTTTATTCTATTAAGTTCAGTTACATATTATATGACCGCGTAAGCTAAGGAGTTTAAATTATAAGTAGGTTTGGACCTAATCAACTAACTATTACTAGACTTAGTTTCAGCACTAAAGTGATGTGTTATTTTACTAAAGGTAGAGGGACGCGTATAGTATAGGCCCTTACATATCAAATTGGCGTTTTGTCGGACTGGCCACTTTGGTCTCAAATATCTGGCGTTTGGTTGGGAATGCTAAATTCAAATTTATTTTAAATTTAGTATTTATGTTTCGAATTTAGTTATTCATTTGTTATCGCGCCATTTGGTTTTTCTTTGACATCTTCTGTTCACAATATGAAAAATTTCAAATGTCGTGTTATTTAAGAATACGAGTTTTACCGTGGCACCAGTGCGTCAGAAACAGCTCGAAGGATTAATGATGTGTATGGGGAAGCTACAAAGAAAACACGGTACGTTTTTGATTCCAACGTTTTCATTCTGGAATTTTTGACCTACAGAATAAACCCCATGGACGGCCGGAGACCCTAGTTGACTATGAAGAATTAAAAGTGATCATGGAGGCGGATCCATCACAAACCAGAGTTAGCAGCAAGCTTCAGTATAAATGATGAAAATTTTAATTCACTTGAAACAAATTGGAAAAGTAAAAAAGTTTAAGAAATTGGTACCACATGAGTGAAGCACACCAAGAAATACGCGTCGAGCACTGCGTTACATTATGCAAACGTCTCAATAACAAGGGGGGTTTTGAATCGAATCGTTACTTGTGATGAAAAATGGATCCTGTACGATAATAGGAAACAAAGCAAAGGTTGAGCCCATTAGAACCAACCAAATCCTGTCCGAAGCGAAACTTGACTCACAGAAAGGTACTGGCAAGTGTCTGGTGGACCAGTGCTGGTGTCATCCACTACAGCTTTCTACGATCTGGCCAGACAATTAAGACAAATCTGTATTATCGACAATTGCAAACCATGATGGAAAAGCTAGCCGTTAAGCAACCGAGACTGGTCAAATGTTCTAGCCCACTGCTGTTTCAGGACAACGCTACACCACACACTGCACAACAGACGGTCGCTAAATTAGAGGGGTTCAGATTGGAATGTCTCCGACACCCACCATATTTCTTGTGTTTCTTGCAAGGAAAAAAAAATTCAATTCCGAAGAGCCAGTCAAAACCTGCTTTAGAGATTTTATTGATTTTAGCTCCCACATTTTTTTCAGTAAAGGTATCAATGAACTACCTATAAAATGGCAAAAGTGCATAAATAACAACGGTATACACTATACATACTTTGTTGATTAAATATATAATTTAATATTGTCTTTAAAATTAATTAAATATTTAAAGCTAAACATTTAAAGCTAAACGTTTAGCTTTTTCCTTATAAAACGCCAATTTCACATGTAAGGCCCAAATATATTACTCAGTAAACAGGGACTTGACGCAAATAATTTTTCAAAATGGACTGGCCAAACATTTACTAAACGAGTAGCTGCAGACATAAACTGGTTAGGAATAATCGGTCTGTGTGACATTTTTGTAAATTATAATTAAACATTTACTTGGAACGTTGCATGTTGCATCCTGGCGACACTTTCGTTGTGCCCAGCGAGCGCCTGTTCAGCTTGCTGCGGGTCGCGCGGAGGCTCGGTGCGCTGCAACTCGTCACCCCACAGCTCAAGTCGCGATGACACCTAGTGTTAAAACTATAATTGTATTCAAATTGTAAAATTTATATTAAAAATGAAACTGATCGTTTAACTTTACTTATCCTTTTACGTCGATATTAAATGAATAGTTTTAATACTAACATTTTGTACATATAATATGTAATTATACATTTCTATTTTTTTATTTTATTTTAGCAAAATATGTACTGATTAACAACACTTTCATTTTAATGATTAGATCAATTTCATTTGCAAATGTTTTCCTTATTAATGTGGACAATAAAGTAGAAATTAAAAAAGGAATGTCATTGTATAATCTATCTACAGCGTATGTAATGATTGAACATTAAAAATCTGAGTAATATAAGAATTATTTGAAGTCATTAAACTTTGTCAATAGAGAAGCATGGATTCAACACAAAGTGATAATAATAACTCTTTAGATAAATTCGATTCTAGTGAAACTAGCGCTCGTCATCATATTTAAATAATATTATCATAGAATATATATTTATTTATAAACATTAAGAAGTTCATAATTAGCATTTATATACAAATAATTACGGAAAATGTAAAGAGCCAACCTCAAGAGCATCTCTTTCAAAGTGACGCAGCTGTAGGGTGAGTTCAAGACGACGTTCACGATCTGACCAAAGTTCTTCGAGAGCACTTCGGGTGCCACGCAATCGTTCTAAAGTAGACTCTACTGCCGCAGTGCTTGCTGCTTCTGTCTCTCCAGATGACCTATGTATAATTTTCATATTTATTTTAATTAAAATAAATAAAACAAAAAAATATAATCTAATAAGATATGCTAGTTGCATATAAGTCGTGTTATTATATTATTACGATCATACCATGAGGAAATGATGTCTTCTTAGTGATTTTTAACTGTTCCTTAGCTGTGTCAGCTTTAGGGCGAGAGAAATATACCCATTTAGCCGACCCCCGAGAAATTAAGACGGTACTTTTGAAAAACACAACTTTTCGTATATGTTTGCTTCAAGATCCACGTATAAAATTGGAGATATTAAATATGAAGTATTGTTATATATTATTAGTAGAATTGTTGCATACTCTGATGAGTACTGATGTACTAACCTCCATCGCAAACACTGTACAGGAGACTTGTGTCTATGAGATCGTCGATGATACTTGAGCATTTTATAAAAAAAATGTTCATTTCACCAGTTGTAGCATCAAGTTCGTACACTTCGGTATCCTCGATCACCACTTACGTTTTGTTAAAAAATAGAGCACTTATTTATTTTTATTTACAAAATTAAACTCGGAAAAAGTTACCTACCTACACGTGACTGATATACTCTACGTTACGTAGTACGTAGAGTATATCGGTGACGATTGACCTACACAACCAAGACGCCTACTGTTATGTTACGGTCGGTTAATAAATCTCTTACGCGATGCTCTCGAGTAATAAGTAATCAATCAATAATAACAATTCTTTGTATTACGTATGTAACATGAAATCAATTTGAATGTTTAGACAATATTGTAGCTATTGGATGGACTGGATTGTGTAATTTCTCTAAATAATATTAGAATAATGCCACGCAGCACATTACACATGTATACCATTTGCATTTCGATAAATTTAATTTCACATACTACTTCTAAATAAATATAACTAACATGCAAAAATTAAATATTATTTAAATTTTTAATATGACGTGTGTAATATTTTTCTCAAAATGTTGTTATGCCATATTGGTTTTATAAAGTACTATAAAAGTTTCCAGTTAATAGATTCGCTGCACAGGAAAGAATTAGCAGCATAGCATTAGCGATATCAATTCAATTTAAAAAAAAGTAATTTCGGTTTGCTTAGAAGACGTATACTTCGTGCGAAGATGGTTTCTAATGTCGTCGGAGCGAGGCATTCCTCACGCGTCGGCGGCCAATCGGAACCGAGAGATATGCATCGCTCTCATGACTGCTGCACACCATGCAGCTTAACCTAACTCTATTACGTTATGCTCATGCCAAGTTGATTATATATATAGTTTTACTAAAAAAGTGTTGTTAATAGTTTTAGTCTTTAGTTGCTGAAAGTGAATGAAGCTAGTTAAATAAAATTAATTATTATTAAAAAGATGATAGAGGAGATTATGTTTACTTATTATTTTAAATAAAACTATCTTTTCGGATTATTTCGCGGATTTATGGTTATCAAGTGACCCTGATAACCAGCTATGACTGAGCTGATGAATAAAATTCTAACTGAGCTGAATCTGTACATGATATATTTTTTGGAAAATCTTATTGAAATAGACATTATTATCGATACAGAGACCGAATCTACGGTTTTTAAAATTTTTGTCTGTCTGTCTCTCTGTAACCGCAACACAGAAAAACCACTGGAGGGATTTTGATGAAATTTGGTATCCGGGTCAACATATAGGATACTTTTACCTCGTAAAAAATGTCTCATTTCTGAGAAAAAATAGAAAAACTGCAATGTAGGAGTGTGCTATGTAAAACCTAAGAATTTGGTTTTTAGTCATCGGAACACGGGCGGAGCCGTGGGCAATGCTAGTATATCATAAAACTCATGGAATCATGACGTTAATGACACGGTTGATGTCTCGTTAATAACTGTACTTTGCCAACACCACTCACTTTAAACATGGTTTGGTTTGTTAAACAGTTCAATGTGCGTATTAACAGAACATAAAGTTTTATTATACTCGTAAAAAGTTCGTGACAGACAGACTTCTAGGGGAACCAACAGTCTAACAATTAGGGCTCAGTAGTAGTTTTATGGGACGTTAAAATGCCTTCATTGCCAGCATTTATATCCGGTTATATAGTTATATATAAACAAGCCACGATAAAAATTACTGTCGATTTAGTTGAAATGATGCTACATGCATCATCTTTTAACCCTCTTTAACGTCCCACTGCTAGGCACGAGCTTTCCTTCAATATGAGGGAGTTGAAATAATAGTCTTCATCTAAAAGCTATGATTAACAAAAAGAAGAAGGAATTATTTTAGAAAGATAGCATTCAATAATTATTATTATTCATTAAATAAATAGTTCATTAAGATTCAAACAATAATATCGAAAGTAACAGCAAATAAGTATAATAAATATAAAACGAGTCCTTTGCCGAAAAAACTAAACTGTAACTGAAAATATAGTTTTCTTAATAAAAAATTGATACAATGGCTAGAAGTGTTCTCCCCAAAGGTATTTTTAAATACAGAAATTATAGGGATACACTTAAAAGCACGTAAAGTGTTATAATAGCCTTTATTAACTATTACATTACTTTTCTTTCCAACAGCTCTGCTTGCTGAGGTCATTTAGTATAAATGTCCTGCTCTAAGCAAGGCAATTTTATATAATCTAAAAAAGGGTATAAAATAGAAAGGCTTCTTCGAACTAGACTGATAGTTCCAGAGATTAATAAGATTAATGGGTAGAGAAAAAAATAAACTTTTCAGTTTCAGTTCGATATAATAAATTCCAAACAAGTAAAATTGAGTGTATAAAGTCATAGTAAGTAGACGCATCCTTGAAATTGGTTAAAATAGATTCTATCTTTTATTTGGAGGAATTATGTTTGTCCAATTATTAGTTATAATTCGAAAACTTACCAAATAAAATATTAAATAAAATTTTAAGATTCTATTACCCATATCAACGGTAAAAATATATAAATACGTAGTAAGAACAAGTTTTAAATATCATGACGCATGACGATACCGAATATCGCCGATGCCGGTATAGCAACTGTCTGTAGCAGAATATCTACTGCATGTGCGGGACTAGCAAACACCGCATGAACAAGTTTCAGCTTCATTTCATTGTGTGTGCAATGTCCGCAAAACAATTTGTACTTAAATGAACACAACTACATAGTACACACTGCATTAATTAACTAATATATATAGTGAATAGCTATTAACGATTACTGAATCTTACAAAAGCGTTACTGTTGACTAACTAGGCAATATTTTAGTAAGTAATAGTACTACTTTTCTCGGTAACTTTTACTACTAATATTTGTACATAAAATAATTAGAGTAAATACCCACACTTCACTTCTCGGACAATGCTACATAATACATAATGTAGTATTGTTGATCGAAGCTTCACTTAGTTTAATTAAACAAATAAAGTATACCTAATTACCTCGTGTATAAAATTTATATACATAATTATACTAACAATAATTTACATCTAAACCTTGACAACAGATACCTATTTTCCACATAATATCAAAATAATAGAAAATTCATATCAACTTATTTCCCAGGATCAAATATATTAATTATATCGGCATACATTAGAAACAATCGAGGCATCTTTCAAATCAAGCATTTTCTTTTATAAAACAAGTAGTAATAGTAGTATAAGTAATAAGTGAGTTGTAAAATGAGTTTTGAAATAGCTTACGTTCCCTTATTTCTCCTTCTTTTCAAAAAACTTTTAAATTACGAGAATCTAACACCGAACCAAGAGTAAAGGCCTGCTGAGAAGAACCAGCGACTACCGCAACATATTACAGTATTATTGATACAATACTATAACTATCTCGCATACGTTTAATGTAATATATTTTATTTTCAACCGACTCCAAAAAAGGAAGAGTTTCTCAATTCGGTTGTATTTCTTTTTATATTTGTTACCTCAGAACTTCTTCATTCATTTTTGTTTTGTTTGAAAGTATATATTTCCAGATTAGTCCCATTTAAAATTGAACAAACTTAGGATAGGAAAATAGCTCATGAAAATTTAACCTACTTCTACAGGTCATATTATTGATTTGAAACTTTGCTGTTGATAATGCAGTGATTCGATATCGTCGAGTCGAAGGCCAGAAGGTGGATAGGTGGAACTCTTCAACGGCTAATAGTAGATCCTTTGAGTTTGGACTTATTTTGTTTGATTTCACAAATCAAATACGTTAGAATTGGATTTTAGAGCCTGATTTTTAATATTACTAATAAAAGCGAATTTTAGTTTGTCAGTCTTCATATAAAAATTGACATCAAACTAACTTAAAGGGCTTAAGCAAATATTTTATTGAAATACTTTCTTACTTTGCCACTACTACAATGTCTACACTAAAAATGTAAAAAGAAAAACAAAAAAATAATAATATATTTTTTACTTTTTTGTGATTTATTGTCGGTTTTTATTTATTTTTTTAGCTTTAAATCATTGAAAAGGTAAATCTAAGATATTTTGTGCAGTATAACGATGTTCATATTCACAATAACCTGTTGTATGTAAAAAAATAAAAACCTGACTGCATAAAAGCTAACTAATAATAAAAAGAGGAAAACAAGTTAACGAAGGCATATAGTATTATGCAGTCTGAGACATGTACACGTTTCATTCTTGCCGAGAGATGTACAAAAGTATTTCTCCAACTGCAAAATACCTTTTTTTTTGTTATCGCTGGGGAAACCCATCATGGGGACCCTACCGGCCGTCAATGGGCAGGGTAATGTGAGACTCCTACTCACTAAAACCCACAGCGGAACCCGTCGCCGCAGTGCAATGGGGTGTGCAGGATCGCTTGCGCATTAACTGCAAAATACCTACTATATTCCTTCGTCAACTTGTTTTTATATTTTTAGTTAGCTTTTATGCAGTCGGGTTTTTTATTTTTATAATATTTTTTTTTATTTACATATTTGTGATGGCCTCTTAACCCTTATTTTGATACCCCACTCAATTGGTTTGAAATCAGCCATTTTAATTTTTAC